AGATAAGATTGTATTATATATGATGTTTTGCGATGCGTTATGACTTGTTCATATTAATTGAAATTATTCGAGCTTAGTTCAGATAAGCTAAGATCTGCTCAGATTGTTTTCCATTTTATTACATTATTTTACTTTAAATGTAATCAAATAAGATTTTTATATTCATTGATTAGCTTGTTATAAATATGTATATATGAGTGTATTGAGTATAGATTATATTATTTCCAATAATTTGAGTATGGTCTGATAATTTTAGATTCGATTAGATTTAGATTCGATTAAAATATATTACTTTAGCTATGTTTTATTTGGATTTCATCAATTTAGATCAAATTTGATTATATTATATGAATTTAGTTGCGATTATATTAAGTGAGTTTAGATGAGAATAAATAGGATTTAATCTACTGAGATGAGCTGCGTTAAGTTTAAATGAAATCTCAGTAAATCAAACGAGTTTACAAGAGCTTTTATAAGTTGATTTATGTTGATTTGATGTGGAATTGAATGTGATAACATGAGAATTAATTAAATTTAGTGTAATGCCTTGAGCTTAGACGAGATTCTATGAGTTGAGATTTGATCTATTTGGTTTACATAAGTTGTTAGTAATTATTCTTTGATGAGTTGGGATGAGTTTCTGCTAGCTGAGCAGATCTAAAATGAAAAGAGTTGTCTTGAGATAAGCTGAAATGATTTGAGTTGAGATAATTTGAGATTGTATGAGATTGCATCATATTTGATTAGATTTTATAAGATGAATTTCCATGAGATAAACTGAGATTAGCTTATATAGCATTAATTTAGGGGACTTTAGTTATTCGCTCAATTTAACTCATTTTCAACCATTACTCTCTTTTTTTCCTATCAACGTTCATCCTACTTCCTTCTAAACTGTAGGTAATATGAATTATAGTGGTATTCTTTGTTGCTTAATTCCTATCTTTTTTCGGTCGCTAGCGCTAAATTTCCCCCTTCCCTAGAAAGAATGCTTTCGGCCATAAACCGTACGCTTGATACCACGCTCCTTCGAAATCTTCCAACCTAATTTCACCTCTCGGTCCACCGAACTCGGTTTCATTATGCGATCTCGTCAACTCCCACAGACTCCACTCATGGCGACCTACTTAAGTCTCCCGGTGACAGTATCCTGGTCAGGCTGGTCACAGGAAATTCTACCATCTGTATGCTTTGACAGAAGACTCTGTATCCCTAGTTCTCTAACGATTACTATCTTTATACCGTGAACGGGCAGGCAGCAAAAGGTATATCCTCTCGGTCCAACTCTGGCAGTCATGTCTGGTCTACATGGCGGGGATGGGCGGCATCCTCTTGGTTGACAGCCTAATTGTCCATCATTCTTTATCTAATTAGCAAAGCGAGATCAACAATACTTCAGCAACTGAGGGGCCACAGGCCAACATTGAAAGCGCCCGAGGTATTCGGAGCTGAACTGTCCATTCGGACTGAGGGCCTGTGTGCATGTCTACATGTCTACATGTCTACATGTGCACGCATGTAGGCCTACAGTTGATGGGGTGTTGATGATCCAGACGAAATTGTGCTGGTCCACTGGTCGAAATAGTATTTGGCCTGTAAGGCGGATAATTCAATGTGTCCAATGAATCGGCGCTAGTTTATATGATCCACATGTGCAGGCCTATCTGCCCATCTGTTCCCTGATCCATGTGCCGACCTGATCTCGGGGCTGCCACAGTGTTGCTTTGCTAGTGGAATCAGGGTCGGTAGCTTTCAAGGGCTCACGTCGAAGTGCTGCTACTGTAGCCTTGATAAGAAGCTTGATAAATGGTGACTTCCAATGACTGGCAGATGATTACCTCACGAGTTTCCTTATTCTGGATGCAGGTGGGAGGGGGCGCCTTGGAGATAAGAGAAAGGAGTGCCACCACTTCTGTCATCCACACTCGGCGGCCCCATTCCGGCCACTGTTTGCTTCCGTTTGCCGCATCTGGCCAGTTGTAATCGAGCGCGGCATCGAGAAGCTCCGGCGTTCACACTTATCGAAATATTTGGTTGCTATTGCCTGTGTTAGGGCTCTGTTAGGAGTCTGAAAACGATGAGTTTGAGAAAGATTTTCCTGACCCCTACCACCATCAGCGCCAGCACATAAAAACGCTCGAAACCGTCGTTTGGGCTGGACAATCTCTCCTTGTCGTTGTGAAATCTACAGTCTACCCCTCCAGAGGCTTTAACTCAAGCTTATAGAGACAAGAATTTTCAATTTTCAATTTTAACGAGGCTACTACTTATCGCATACTAAGTAGTATATCGAATTTGATGACAATCATACCGTTGTATGTTCCTTCTTCACCTTTGAACTCAGACTTGACCTTCATGCCCACTTTTCGGATACCACTGTAAGTGCTGACAAGATGATTAGTTGATATGGAAAGTGCATTAAGAAATGAACATTCTCGGCAACAGCCAAGCATTCCTCCAAATTTAGTCTATCGAATCCGATGCTGTCAATGGCTCTTTCATCACCCGCTCTCGTCTTCCTCAAATCCACTGTATCACCACTATTCCTGCCGATCGGCCTGAAATATTCATCATCCCCTTCAACATCATCATCAGCATCAATATCAGGATAAGCATCAACATCAGAAGAAGCATCATCATCATCCATCCGCCAGTCGAAATGAGGGTTAAAGTAACTTTAATCGAAGATGTAAAGACCAAGATGGTGTGGCCTTTTGTGTGGTCGCAGTCTCCTTTCGTTGAATAGAAGTTGTTTGAC